GAAAAATCCCCCAGTAGGGACTGGTCAAGCCACAGTCCTTTTCCTCCAATTCTCCATCCTGTCATGATTCTGGACACATGTACACTAACAACCCAGGGTGATGCTAATGGAGCCAAGATTTGAACCTCAGTCAGCCATTTGGGATCCAACTTCATTTGTGCAACACCTAACCACTGCTTTGGCCCCTAAATTTTATTCCTCTCTCTTTTTTTTTTTTTTTTTTCATTTGCTAATGGGCACATGCACTCCCCAGAGTCAGAGAGAGGAATCTTCATATTGTTTTCCATAGTGACTGTACTATTGTAATTTACACTCCTGCCAGCAGTGAATGGTTCCCACGCACTGCCCAGTAATCTTGTTATTCTTAGATTCCTTTTTTCATCATAGCTATTCTAATTGGAGTTAAGTGAGAATTCACTGTGGTTTTGATTTACATTTCCCTTCTAAAAGATGTTGAACATTTTTCATATGCTTTGTAGCCATTCTGTTTTTTTTTAAGAGCTGTGTGTTGGGATCAGCAGTTAGTGTAATGGCTATGTCGCTGGACTCCCATGTAGTCGACCACGATGAGTCCCAGACCCGGCGGCTTAAACTCATGCCAGGTGCGTGTGCGTGCGTGCCCAAGATCCCGAGAGGAGAATGGAGGAGAAGGGATTACGGTGGCCCAGGACTTGAATCATAGTTGACCACGCGGGGGTCCAGGACCTTAACCACCGCACCATTTGCTGGTCCAGTAGGTTGCATGTTTACTTTCTAAAAAAAAAAAAAAAAAAAAAGACCCTATTGGGAGTCTTTCTCTATTTTTCTCTCTCTTTGGGAAGAAAAGGATAAATAAACTTAAGAAAAAAAAAAGGAAGAAACTAAAAGCAAAATGTGACTTTTTTTTGGTAAACTGTTCCATGTGTACCTTCAAGTAGAAACTTTACCACGCTACAATGAAATGTTTACCCTTTTTTTTAAAAGAATTATTTATTTAATTTTATTTATTCATTCACATATTTGAATTTGACCAGAGAGAGAGAAAAAGAAAGTGAGAAAGCAAGTCACCAGGTCAGGGACTCAAACCGTAGTTGACCATGTGGGTAAGTCCAGCATCTCAACCACCATGCTACCTGCTGGTTCCCAATGTTTACCCTTTTTAAATCAGTCAATATGTTTCATCCTAAATCGTAGCTCCTATTTCCTAAAAAGTATTATAAAATAAATGAACTATTTAGTGGATTGATTCAGCTTATCTATGAGGTATCCTGCCTAATTAGAAGCAGCCTGAGTATTCCACTTATGAGTGTAGGAATCTGATTGTTTTTGTTTTCCTATTTTAGAAAGACAATTTTAAGAGGTTCTTTTTTTCAAGAATTGTGTATTTAACTTTATTTATGTATTTTAATTTGACCAGAGAGGGACAGAGTGAAAGCAAGAGAGAGGGCAAATGAGAAAGCAAGGCACCAGATCTGGGACTCGAACCTTGGTCAGCCATGTGGGAATCCATCACCCCCAACCACCACGCCACCTTCCGGCCCCAATTTTAGGAGGTTCTTATTTTTGTTTAAAAATATAGAGGAAAGGGAACCAGCAGTTAGCATAATGGCTATGTCGCTGGACTCCCGCATAGTCGACCACGGTTCGCGTCCCGGACCTGGTGGCTTAAAACTCATGCCGGGCGCGTGTGCGTACGTGCCTAAGATCCCGAGAGGAGAATGGAGGAGGAGAGATTGCGGCATGACCATCCCCCCTGGGATAGAGAGAGAGAGAGAGAGAGAGAGGAAAGAATGAATGGCTGACTATAGGAATATAAATCAGCTGTTATCAGGGTGTACAACTATATTGCTACCAAGGCAATTATGCAGCCTGAAACCTCATACAAGAAAACAGGAATTACCTTCCCACCAGGGATTCCCTTGGTGTGGTTAAACTATACACAGAGTTACTGACATGAATTAATTCTACATATATAAAATATACATTTATCTTTATGTAGAGTGTAGCTTTTACTAATAAGATTCATTTTAAAAGACTATAAAATCTTCCTTTTTAAAATTAGGACCAATTAAATATATATTTGATAAGGCCTCATTTAAAAATAGAATTTGAACTATGAGCATTGAAGCAATATATTTTTAAGCAATTTATTTTTTAAGAATTATTTTATTTAACTGTATATATGTATGTATGTATGTGTGTATGTATAGGGACAGAGAGAGAGAGAGAGAGAGGGAAAGTGAGAAAGCAAGCCAACAGGCCCGGGACTCGAACCACCGTCGGCCATATGGGAGTCCTGCGTCCTCAACCACCACACCACCTGCTAGCCCCTAAGCAATTTATTTTTAAGAAGTTGGAAGTTTAAGCTAAAGTCTATTTGATGTAAGTGGAGTTAGACCCCACTTAAGGAAGTCACTGTGTTTTTCTTTTGTAATGAAGTCTATTTTTTCTCTATGGTCTTGTTAATGTACACTATACACCCCTTTTACATCTCTAAAGAAATGATGATTTCTTGCTAATAAGGCAGGAAACAGAGACATTGAGCAGAGAGGGTAAAGACCCAAGATGGAGTCACAGTGACTAAATTTTCACAGCCAAGGGGACTAGCAGGTGGCCTGGTGGTTAAGGTGCTGGACACTCCCACATGGCCGACCATGATTTAAGTCCCGGACGTTCCTGCAGCCTTTCTTTCTCTCTTTCTCTCTCTCTCTCTCTCTCTCTCTCTCTCTCTTTTTCTGTGTGTGTATGTGTGTGTCTGGTCAAATTAAAATAAATGAATAAATAAATAAAATTAAATAATTATTTTAAAGCAGTAAATTATCTGGTCATAATAATAATAATATCATTAATCTACTGAGAAAAAAATTTTTCACAGCCAAAAGCTGGCTGCATTGGGACTCAAGCTGACTGTAGCTAAGGGCAACTGTTTCTGTTTAGCACCTATATCCTAGCAAGTACAGAATGCTATGGTTTGTTGACCACACAAAACATAGAGCAATAAATCACACAGATTAACTACCATGTAACTCTTTTCTAAAGCCCACTTTCTTATCTAGAAAGCCAGCCAATTGCTCAGACTGCTAGATAAAAACCCCTTATCCCCATTCAGCCCCCTCCCACTGCACTGGAAGTTCTGTTCTTCTCTCCCTTTCTTCTTTTCTTTTAGAGATTTTTCCTATAGGGCACATGTGCTTCCCAGAGAGACAGAAAACAAGAAATCACCCCCTGGGTGGATGGTCACAGCACAATCCCTTCTCCTCCATTCTCCTCTCAGGATCTTGGGCACACACGCACACACGTATAACTTTTTTTTTTAATTTTTATTCATTTATTTATTTTAATTTGACCAGAGGCACACAGAGAAAGAGAAATGGAAAGCAAGAAAGCAAGCCACCAGGTCTGGGACTCAAATTGTGGTTGTCCATGTGGGAGTGTCTAGCACCTTAACCACCATGCCACCTGCTGGTTCTCCCTCCTACCCCCCACGTGAGTTTTAAGTCACCAAGACCAGGACTTGAATCGTGGTTGGCCATGTGTGAGTCCAGCAATATAACCATAACGCCAGCTGCTGGTCCCCTCTCCCTTTCTTAATAAACTCCATTTTACTATCCACTCTCTGTATCTGAGTCTCTAATTCTTCATGAGCTTCAAACAAAAATCAGCATGGGTATTAGGTCTAATCACCCAGGACTCCCATGTCAGTATATATGAATCATGCTTTAATATATGACAAATAGGGGCAGTAGATGGTGTGTTGATTAAGGTGCTGGACTCCCACATGGCTAACCACAGTTCAAGTCCCAGACCTGGTAGACAGAAAATCATGCCAAGCACATGTGCATGTATGCCCAAAATTCCGAGAGGAAAATGGAGGAAAAGGTACTTCGGTGTGGCCATTCACCCCAGGAGGTGAGTTCTCACTTTCCCTCTCACTCTCTCTCTGTTTCTCTCCGGCAAAAACCTTGATATGTACACATAAAACAAATAACTGGTCCTTGAAAGTCTGCCTTTCTTTCATGACAGGGTCTTGCTATGTCCTGGTCCTCTTCCCTCAGCCTCCCAAGTAGCTAGGACCACAGGCATGTTCCACCAAGCCCGGCTTTTTCAGACAGGGTCTCACTATGTTATTCTCACTGATCCCTAGCTCCAGATCCCCGTGCTCTTTTGAGTAGCTGGAACTATAGGCACAAGCCCCACGCCTGGTTTTTAGAGAGGCCTGAGAATTGGACCCAGGCCTCTCATGAGGCCTCAGCCTGCCAAGAAGCATTTCAATCCGTGGACACTACTGCCTGCCTTTATAAGTTGTATCTATTATACCTGTAATCAAAGTATTAACATTTACACATGTGGAAAGTCTTTATGAAGACTCTACAGCTGTAAGAATTATTTTGAGCATTGTAATTTCCCTATAGAATTTGATAGCTGTGCAAAATTTATTAGGTAAGTAATACTAAAAATGTGCTGTTGCTATATGTTCATCCACAGATATTATGGTCACATTTAAGCATTACTCATACATCCTTCATCGTACAGTATAGGCACTATACCTGGTGTCAGGGATAGACTAATTGGAGAACTGATTGAGACAAAGTTCTCATAAGCTTATAGTCTAGTGAGAAAAAAATATATAAAACAATAAGTTAAAGTGAAACATATATGTGTGTATATATACAATTTTTTCCAGAGGGCAGGTGTACTCACAGGAGAGATACAAGAAAGGGAAGTTGAAAAAGAGGCAGCCATGGGGCCTCATATCGAAATTCCTTCTCTTCCATTCTCCTCTCAGGATATTGGGCACACACACAAACACACCTAGCATGTTTCTTTTTTTTCCTATTAAGAGAAGTTTTTGCTATACAGCAGTGCATTTGCCAGAGAGACAGAAAGCAAGAAATCACCTCCCAGGGAGGATGGCCACACCTCAATCCCTTCTCCTCCACTCTCCTCTTAGGATTTTGGCCATGTATGCACACGCGCCCTGTTGGAGATAGAAACCAGCCCAGGCCTGAGAGATAGCCAGAAGGGACGAATGCAGGAGGGAGTTGAAAGCAACCCCATTCCCGGATGGAATGCCACAGAGACTGCTTGGTCAACCAAATGGAGCTCCAGGCATGGGCTGTGTCTCAAGATGTTGGACATTGACATTCCGCAAGCCAAGATGTTGTCTAAACACTAAGTTAATGATAGCTATACCTTGTACCAGGAACATAACCTACAAAGAATGTCATGTATATTGTGCATTATTCTTTACAGCTAAACTCACCCACTGCTTATCTGATTTAATTTAGAATAAACAGGCTCTGCTCTGGTGCAGTTTTGCTTCTGCTCCAAGAGAGCTTTATCCCCTGCTTTAACCTTTTCCTCGTCTCTTTTCTCAATTCTTTGCAACACCCTACCTTCAAGCCTTGAATTTCTCACATCTGGCACCCGAACAGACTTGAAGGTAGAAGGACTCTGAGAAATAAAAGGAAATTCTTCAAGTATTGGAGAAACTGAAGGGATTTGTGAGTGGAGTAACTCGACCTTCAGGATTCAGTGCAGGTACGTTTAGGAAGTCTTTTTTTTTTTTTTAATTATTTTATTTAACTTTAATTATTTATTTATTTTAATTTGACCAGAGAGGGACAGAGTGAGAGAAAGACAGAAAGCAAACCACCAGGTTCAGGATTTGAACTGCGGTCGGCCATGTGGGAGTCCAGCATCTTTAACCACCACACTACCTGCCGGCCCCTAGGAAATCTTCTTCTAAGAATTAGTCTTATATGCAAATCTTATGGACTTCGCTCAAGAGTTCTGGGTTTCAGGTAAAAAAGACTACTTTTTAAGAACTTTTTTACTTGATCCATAAACATTGCTATTGGCTTACTCCTTCTGAAAAAAAAAATGCACTCAGTTATAGACAGTGCAAACTAGTTATTCGAGCATTAAGGTGATCTCATCAGCAAGGCAAAACTATTCCTTTATCTGTGTGGTCCCTATGTAATCTTATCTCTTTAACTTTAGAGTGGCTTAAATCAGAATCTGGGGAAGAAACAGTAATTTATAAGCTGAAATCGAACAGAGAGGGAGAACAGCTAGATTCTCCAGAGGATGATGTTTCAGGTTTAGAGAGTCCACCACCTACAGAAAAGGAATTCTCTCCCCCACCTAAACAATGGAGGTCTTGGGAACCAGCAGTTAGCGTAATGGCTATGTTGCTGGACTCCCACGTAGTCGACCGCGGTTCGCGTCCCGGACCCGGTGGCTTAAAACCCATGCCGGGCACGTGTGCGTGCGTGCCCAAGATCCTGAGAGGAGAATGGAGGAGAAGGGATTGCGGCGTGACCATCCCCCTGGGGGGTGCTTTTTTGCTCTATGTCTCTCTCTGTCTGTCTGGCGAGTGCACGTGCCCTGTAGCGAAAATCTCTCCAAAAAAAAAAAAAGAATGGAGGTCTTCTAACAAGCTTTCTCCTTAAAATCCAGCTGCTCGCTCAGCTTTATACTCCGTACAAGCTGAAGCTCCACGATATGAAAATTATTAAAAAATTAAACATAAGCAAATTTCTGTAAAGCCTACAGCTCAATTTTCTTCTAATAATTCTTTTTATGATACTTCTGCTAAGACTGTTACTGTCCCTTATTCTCCTATGATACAAGCCCTTTTTCTCGTACTGAGCTTAAATAGATTAAAACTGATTTGCGTCACTGTTTTTCTGACAGCCCTTATAAATATATGGCTAGATTTCAACCTGTTCCTTTGGCCTTTGAGGAGATGCTAAACAAGAACAATTCAAGACCTGCAATTATGGGGTTAAAATGTTGGGCGTTCTCAGTTCAGCAAATACTTTCTGTTTGCCAAGAATATTCAAGGTCATTTAAAAACTAATTTCTTGGGACCAGCAGTTGGTGTAATGGCTATGTCACTGGACTCCCACTTAATCAACCGCGGTTCAAGTCCCATACCTGGTGGCTGTGGCCATCTCGCCTGGGGGATGATTTCTCGCTTTATCTCTGTCTTTCTGGTGAGCACACATGCCCTGTAGCTAAATAAATAAATAAATAAAAACTGTCTTTTAATAAAGCCTGAGATAAGAAGTAAACATCTAAGGGTTAAGCTCTAAAACTTCTTTTTTAAAAAAGAGAGAGAGAGATAGATATATAAAGAACTTTCCAAAAGATTATGAGACTTTTTGTTGGTATGAGTGTGTGTGTACAGATATGTTATGTGTTGTATGTCATGTGTCTATGTAATAAAAGGCCTTAAGGAATTCCATTCAATTTGGCTAATAAATAAGAGTGCTCATACAAATGAATCTAAAAGCTTTTCAAGTTTATGTGACTAAATCTTTGTCAAATAACTGGCTTCAAATAAATTTTTAAAATAATAATAAAAATAAATAATTAGAAAGGTTTCATAAGTGAAGATCTTCACAGTTTCCAACACATATTTTGTCCAAGATCCTATTGGTCAGGCAACATCATATTTGTCTTCATGGGGTTGATTTAATAAAGTATCTGGTATTTACATGTTATGTGGTGTATATTACATGATGAATATCTAACCAAGAGGAAAAATGAATTAATGACTAGACTTTTTTTTTTGTTTTTTGCAGGTAATCAGTACATAATGGTTAAAAGAAATTTAAATAATTATAAATGGGGTATTTACAAGTAAAGTTTTCAGATAATCTGAGATTTTAAAGTTGTGCCTAATTAAAATAATAAGGGTTCATAAAATGTCTAAGTCATCCTTGAGTAAGTTACTGTGCTTTGATTATCATGAAGTGTATATATTTCTCTTTTTCTGGAGAAATTTCTTTACTATAGGGCGCATACTCTCGCCAGAAAGATAGAGTCAGAGAGAGACAGAAAGCAAGAAATCACCCCCCTCTCCGGGGGGGATAGCCACAATCCCTTCTCCTCTGTTCTCTCAGGATCTTCGGCACGCATGCACACATGCCCAGCATGAGTAAGTCACCAGGTCCAGGATTGAACTGCAGTCAACTACATGGGAGTTCAGCGACACAGCCATTACGCTAACTGCTGGTCTCGAAGTTTAATTATTTCTACTGTCAGCCTTTAAATTTTACAAAAATGGAAGATACTGGGTTAAAGCTATTGATAAGATTGTTCTGTTCTACACTGGGACAATTTGTTAAATTGTTTTTGCCTGTTTATAAAACATGTTCCTGACAGTTTCTAAATTATAAAACTAGGTAATTTGAGAAACATGCCGAGGTGAATCAGGATGAGTATTAGCTAGTACTTCCTAGGGAGTGTCATAGACCAGAGCCCTATGGGTTCTGCTCGTCTCAAAACTTCACTACAAGATCTGAGATGGAGTGTTTCCTCGCGATCTGTCCGTGCCTCAGCTAATGGCACCACTGTTTGACATGGTGGAAGAATGTCTCCTCCAAGCCCTCACTTACCTTTTGGGCCAATTCACGACCAAATTTGGAAACTTGTCACAGCCCTCCACCCTCTTTATGTTTGGATAGACACATATCATAAAAATACCACAGGTAATCACTCTGATCTTAAATACGGTTAATGATACTCGCTTCGTTCAAGCTCGTGTTAGACTGCTGT